TCGGCTGCAAACCTTTCTAAGGAGCACTGGAGATCAGTTTCAGAAGATGCTAATAAAACAAGGTCGTCTGTTCAGGCACCTTGAGTGCTCAAATACCACGGAGCTGTGACCTAATTAAATAGCACTCTAGGCTTCCTTAGTTGAGAAAGACAAGCTACAATTAAGTTACTGGAAAAAATTTTAGAACTGAAGCACAGGTCACTTTATGTGTCAGTTCCCATGGGCTTTACAAAATTGAAATACAGAACGGAGTCACATGCTCATAGAGCGATCAAGTGTGTATCTGTGAAAAACTTGACAACAGCAAGCGCTCTAAACTGTCATACTAATACTTTCCTGACTGACTCTGTGGATCATCTCAGTCTGTACATTTTACGGCCAAATTAATTATAACTTACTGTTTTAAAATATACAAAGCAAATTCTTACCTGGAAAACAATGGTCATACCACAGAACGTATCCGGAAGAACATACGCAAGCCGTGCCATTGCACGCCGAGTCTTCCAAGCAGTGCTGACCTTGGCTGCAGTCATGACCCGGGAGAGCACCGTCATCTATAAGTAATTTGTGCAACGTCCTTCTCAGATTTTGACAGATATTTGTTTGTTGTTTATTGTGATCTTGCACTTGACCTGTTTGCGTTACTAGAGAATCTACGCTGCTTCCAGCACTTTCACTATTTATGAAAAAAAATGAATCTACTGAATGCATGCTGGACATCCCGAATGCTACTGATTGAATGAATGCATTTTATTCCTTGAGTGTACGGAACATTACGATATTTTCCAGCACGAAACAACAACAAAAAGACTAAAAGCACTATTACAAGATAAGCGGTAGGCAAATGAACCAGATGTTTGCAACATCACTGAGCATGTGATGATTGGTCCCACATGATTCCGGCCAAGACAGAAATGACTGAATTTTGTCGCAGTTCCGTTCGACTTTAGTTGTCCACTATTTTTGATATGTTTACAAGGCGACAGCCAAAGAAGAAAACAGTTGCTATTGAAAAGAATGCCGGCATCCAAGTGTAGCGAAGCTTATAAGACACGCTGTACAAGTACAGAAAAGATCTTCCAAATCGAACAGGTATTACGTAGTATCAACTTGAAGGTCTGGCACAAAATGCAATGATCGGTTCTGAGAAGTTCAGGATAGAAGACAGGGGGACATCGGTAAAAAAACTGAAAGAATGTACGACTTGATGAAAATGTGCAGAGCGGATTTTGGAGACCTCCGTTTGCCCTAGACGAATAATGTACCGTTAATATCCCGCTAATGCATCGTTGAATGATGAATTCCTTTCCGAAATAAGATCTGACGACTTTATTCGTCAGCGCTGCAAGCTGGCTTTCCATTCGACATCAGCCATGTTTCGTTTTCCACATGGGAGCTCGAAGGCAACAATAAACTGTTTATCCTCGTCTGATTTGCTATCAGAGCCAAAGTCTTTTCTTAATCTCCACATCGTATGAGGATATGAATTAAGAAAAGGGCAAGGCAATCACGTACGATAGTCTCCTTCCGGATCCACACAGATCAACTGATGTAAACGTCCAACTACTTTCAAACAGATGGCCAGTAGCCTTACCTTCAAAAATGTGTGTGAAGTACGAACCAAAGCGTCAGTACTTTTCCATAATGTGATACCGGCTCCGCAGCAGCCTGTGAATCAGCGAGGCGATGATTCAAAGGAATAATCAGATGTTATTCAAGCATTGCGAGGTTTGCAGACAATGTGCCAATTGGTCCGGGGAAGATAACTGGGGACACAGAACATTCAATAAAACCGGAGACGCCAACTGGCGGTAGCATGTCAGTTAGACAATGCCGCGCTTCCAAGCCTTCTAATCGTCAAAGGTACCGTGGGTGGCTATTTATGGCATTAAAGGAACAACACGACCGGAAGACAGCCCGTTGTCGCTGAAGACAGTTAAATGCGGCATCGGTTGTAAATCTATTGACGCTTGTGTACATATAGCTCCTGCTGTTTCATAATAAAACTAGTTCTTGTGTAAACGAGTGACAGTATTGACGACAACTGCGGCTCGAGCAGCGAACAAGTCCATGGGTTTCTTGAATGGATCTGCTACAATCAATCAATAAGCCATATGCACTGTGCATAAATGATCCTTAGCTGTTGTGCGTTTTTAGTTCCCATGCCACTGAGCATCACCGACCTGACGAGGCAAGTTACAGGCAGCTTGTTTTTGTGAAAAATGATTGAGTTCGTGATGGCACAGTGGCAATGAACTCAGGTCGAACTTCTGTACTTGCGACTTCCAAGCTACCGGGTTCGAACTATGAGATGAAGCAAGTATGTCTTAAGCGCAAATTCCATGGAGCAACAAATTTACGCAACGTTGCTTCGGTGCAAACAGTTGAGAAATGTATAACACGACTGACAATGTGCTGTTTTGGTCTGGTCATAGAGAAGAGGCGAGAGGTATGACCATTCTGTCCGATGGGAGCGTCTCATCTAGGTTCTACTCGCTTTGGTGCGCGAGAAAGTTGCTTATTCAATGTGATAATCGGCAGAACGTGTAGCTTAAGTTGTCTTTATTGTTATCCCTTTCTCAGCTAACATATTGACAGCTATACAATACCTGTTATACACCATCAATACTACACATTGATGGTGTGTAATTATTTACTCTTCCTAAATCTGTCCTCATGTTCAAAAGGAAGAAGCAGTAAACTAAAGCACTGAATGTGAAAGTTGAAGTGCAGCAAAATGTTGTCTTTTCTTTGGTGCAACGATCAGCAGTAATCAGTCAACTAACAAGTCAATTGTAACTGAGCCATTGGTAGATCTGCTCTCGCAGATGATTGGATCGCCCTCTACCCAAAGATCAAACGGAGCTACAAAGATAACGAAATCGTAAATGGAACCTGCAATCAGATGTGTTGAGAACCATGCATGTTGGAAACCTTCGGTTTCTTTTCCGTTTCAGCCATCAATCATTGGCTGATATGCCCTTGACCTCAGAATTAAAAGAAAAGCTGAACTTACCCATATAGCCTTGATTTTTGCTATTCGTCCATGACTCGATAGAATCTTCTTTTACCGTCGGGATATATGAAACATTGCCACTGTACACCTCGTAATCGGTGTCCCAACCGACGTACTCGTCGGTCTCCCTGTTTTTCGCGGCCAGCCAATCATGGAGCGGCTGAAAGTACTCCATCAATCCTCGGGAACTAATTTCTTCGGTACCGAACATGATTTGCATCACATAAGTCCATTTATATTTTGAACCAAATTTCATTATTGTTCTAAACGTCCACTGTGTGCAACAAACGAACATCTTCAACCGGTGAGAAAAGTACCTGAGTTTAGTTCCAGCTTCAGCGGAGTTGTAGATGTTACATTTAGACAAAGGTCCTTGGTAGCCTGAGGCGTTGCAAAGGCTTTTTAGGAACTGGAATCGAACAATGTAACTAATCAGATTTCTAAAGGGAAGGTTTACACTCGATTTCGCCTGACACGTTTAGTATATACCCTAAATAGGGCATATTGTGGGCTATTTCGTAATCCGCTCCGGCGTCAAAGTCCGTGATTGAACGAGGCGCCGGCGGAGCAACGCCTTGGTAACTGTTCCTATTACAAAGTGAAATATCACACTTAGGATCGCTAGTCAGCATTCGCAATTTTGCTACCTTAACTCCCACCATTCGTCGTTCAATCTTTCCCTGGGAAGCTGCTCACGAAAAATCTTCTCGCGCCAGATGTCAGTCAGCAACGCGTAAGGGATGAACGGCACGATGCGCATAGCCAATGCATACAGCTTATTTATGCTTTGTTCTAAAAAATGCCGTAATAACCGCGACCGTAGCGAATGAAACAAAAAAGCGTACTGTCGTTTTCATCGCTTATAGGAACACCTAAGGTTTGCAGGTAAGTCGGCACGGTCGCCATCAGCGCCACGGCTTCCGCGAGAGCCGATGAAAATGCTGGGTTTGTGGCTTCTCTGAACGGAACTGGCAAGTTTCGATACGAATACGAATAGTATACGGAAGTGAGTTCGCGATGCGCAACGATGACGTCTTCGATGCTTACTCGAGAACAGACTTTCAATCTGAAAACAGAATTATGTAACAGATTTAATGGACAAGCTGCCAAGTCCGGTCGAGGGTGGTACGTTAGGCAATGAAGAATGTTCAACGTGTACTTTTGGAATACCGCAGATTCTCAGCAAAGCCGAGTGGCACAGAGCTTGGGAAATTCACAAGTAGCTAGCTGTCTAAATCCAGTTTTTTACAAAGGAAACCTGTGTAACTGAATTTATTGATAAATTAGTCAATTTCGAGAATGAATACATGTATGTGGAGTCTGTCCATGTGGTGGGCATGCGCCTCTATTGACAGAACCGTTTTCTAACCTGGAAAATATACTGAAACAGCCAGCCATGATTAGCGGAATCCGGCGGAAATTATGACAATCCTGCAATGCACGGGATTTTAGTAGAATGAGTAAGGCCACAGCACAGGAAGCAATAAGTAAGTAAGAGCAGCAGAAACGACCAAAAGTGCATGCCTTGCGCAAAAGGATAGGGAGTGCCAATCAGCCGCACCTGTGACCAGTGGATCGACGCGAAATAATCCTTTGGAATGAAGAAACGAAGTGGAACGACAAAAAGGATCAGCCAGTATTGTAAATTGATAATGACGTTTATGCTATACCATTTTAATGTCCCCTATGTGATTAAATGTGTATATAAGCGAGTATTAAAAAACTGAAGCGTCCAATCATTCTTTCTCTCACAGTCTAGGTCGATCTGCTACATCAGACTTGATTGCAGCGAGATGAGGTTGGGTCTTTTCTGCACAAGACGGTCTGTCATAGTGGTGAGTGACAACGCCATAAACTACTGAAATAAAGAAAGTGTTATATCCACTGGAATGTCAATCTTCCACAACCTCTATGATATCTGCCATGATGGAATTAAGGGACGCTGATCGCCGGAAGAGCCACAATCTTTCAAGGCATTATCAACGG